AACATTAGTTTGTATACTCTTATTACTAATCTAACCTTGTCTTTCATATACTAATCCAACATTAAGATATGCTTCAGCAACTAATTGTGAATCAAATTGTGTATATGTTTGAGCAACTGATAAACATTTTTTATAAAATGAATCTGATAACCAATGATCATCACTTTTTAAAAAAAATGATGCTAATTCAATATAATTTTTATACATATTTGAATATTGTTCTAAAATCAAAAAAGATTTCATTAGTCTTTTTTTTTTCTTTCTGAAGAATATCTCTAAAACATACTTCTTCGTTCAGCTTCTTCAATTTTATTAAGATATATACAAAGAAAACGTAATTTATCTGGTTCTCCATCTAATAATGATCGTCGATAATGTGGATGTTCAACACCTAATTGTTCTCGATCATTTTTTTGCCATTCTAATATAGTACATAATTCACGAAATGATTGATGATAACCTTGACGAAGCATATCTATGGATAATTGACGTTGTAATGAATTTCGATATCTATTTGGAAAAAATTTCATAATATGAAATTTTTTTATTTTTTTTTATTTTATACTTTTCAGTATCTACTTTTTGAAGTGATGGTTGTTTTTTATAATCTTTTACAGAATTTTTTAATTCTTTTAACGGAAGCTAAATTAATGAAAAGCATTACAATAATGAAAATCTTGAAGAAATTTTCTTTGTACAGACTTGATGTTTTTCTTGATAAGTTTTACTTGGCAAAATAGAAGTATGAAAAAATGTTGATTGATTTTTATTCTTAGTTTCATTTGTTGATTTTTTACGATGAATATATGTTTCGGCTAAGAATAAATTCATATTATAATTTAATATTTAATAAAATATAGAGATATATATGATTTTAAAAGAGATAATTCATATTTATTCTTTCACTTACCCATTTAATAGAAGTGATATCAATGTATCCAACAACTTATGTCACTATTATTATAGTTACTTCATTTATCTATGTTTTTTTTTATCATTTTATTTTAAAATTCTTATCAAGACATACTCTAGCGACATCTGTTTTATAGATTAATAACTCTTTTACTTTTTTAATTTAATGCTTTATATTAACTTGAAAAAATTCCTTTTTTTTCATATAATAATCTTAAATAATTAAATATCGATTGAATATATTTAATAACCAATAGAATCTATCCAAATCTTGACTCGTCATCATAGTCACTTCATTCAACAGCTGTTGCTATACACTAGTTGAATAATATAGATGATTAAGTTTTTGTATTTAATAAGTTTTATTCTTATTTTAAACATTCCATCAATTGAAAATGTCGACCGACAAAATTTTAAAACATGTGACCAAAGTTCATTTTGTCGGTTAGTTTTATTTTGTCAAAATTAAATTAATAATAAAAATTAAGTTCATTTTCTTTTATTAGACGCCAACGTAAATATAAACCCGATACAACACCTTATGAAGTTGATCTAAATTCAATGAAAACAATTGACAAAGGACATTTACAATTTATTTTACTTAATACATTAAAATCCAACATCAAATTTCAATTAGATTTATATACACTTGAACATAATTCATTACGTGTTAAAATTAATGAAATAAATCCATTAAGAAAACGTTATGAAGTTGAATATGTTCTTGTTGGCGAACCAAAACTTGTTGAGTAAGGAAATCAAAAATTATAAGAAAACAGTAAAATATACAATTAATTGTTTTTTTGTTTTCTTATTAGTGTCACCTTTAAAAAAACGGATAATAATCAAGTTGAAGGACGATTTGGTGAAACAGCTAAATTTCTACTTAATGCAAAACCATTTCGTTTAGATTTATTTACAAATGATATATTTGTTATAAGTGTTAATTCAAAAAATATGTTTAATTTTGAACATTATAGAAAAAAATCAGGGTATAAATACTTGTTATATTTTAGATAAAGATTTTATTTTTTTGTTTATTTAGATCTGATGGAGCTGAAACTGAGAATAATGTAAGTTTCAAATGAATTTTCTAACATTTTACTTGTTGCTTATGAAGAAACATAGAATCATGAAGAAATTAAAGATTAGATATTTTGTAGTTTGAATTTAAATAGTAACAATTTGTTATGTTTCGAAGAGAATTTTCTATTGTTTAAAAATGATTATATATCATTCAAAAGATCATGCCTAAGAAAATAAATCCTATTAAAAAAAAACAACATTTTTTTTTCCACCACTGACATCTATGGAGGACTTTGACCTCGTAATATAATCAGAAGGAGCTTATGAAGAAACATTTCTAACTATCCAATTGTTTTTCGATTATTTCTATAGACATTCAATCAGCTATGACAAGTAACGAAAAAAGTCTGTTTTGCTTTGGTTTTCTGGTCTTCGATTTTTTCACCCTATGTACATAGGTATCACGTAGAACCCGGAGGATGAAACCTTATTTATAGATCGGTTCTGTAGTTACTAGAGTGTTTCTATTGACTATCAGATCTATCTATGAACGAAATTCGATCATTTATATGGTGTAGGGGATAGAGATCGACGTGACCAAAGTCTGGTCACGACAAATTTGTAATGTAGCTAAAGGATGTGGGTACGCGTGTTCTAAAAAAGATACCTACACCCACATCCTTATATTTAAAATATTTTTTATTGATTTAGACTGAAGATAATGAAGATGGAATGTGGGAAGAAACATTCAAAAGTCATCATGATTCAAAACCATATGGTAAAAATTATTGAATCATTTTTATAAATTATTGATTATAGAATATTTTTATTTTTTATTATTTAAGGTCCATCATCAATTGGTGTAGATATAAATTTTCTTAATTTTGAAAATGTTTATGGTATTCCAGAACATGCTGATGCATTTTCACTTAGATCAACACAGTAAAGAAAGAAAAAATTCTTTTTTGTTTTATATTCAGATAAAGAATTTCTTTTTTTTTAGTGATACAGATCCATATCGTTTATATAATCTTGATATATTTGAATATGATATTAAAAATCCTATGGCTTTATATGGTGCAGTACCTTATATGCTTGCTCATAAGTAACAATAAATTTAAATTTAATATACAAATATAATTTATTTATTTATTAAATTCTAGTGAACATGCAACTGTTGGTTTCTTTTGGTTAAATGCTGCTGAAGGTTGGATCGATGTTCTTAATGATAAATTAAATACAAAAGTAAGTTTAATCGTTTTAATTAGCTAAACACATATATAATAGGTATAATTATTTGTTTTGGTGAATGGTCCTTCTTTTTGTTTTTTTGCTTGCAGAACAATTGGTTTTCACGTCAGGTAATACAAGAAAGAAAAAAAAGAAAATTTAACTAATTTAAGAATTACTTTGATACATACTTACAATGAAGAATATAAAATATTTCATTTCTCAAATGAACATATATAAACTATTGAAATGGTGATATTTTTACAATTGAAAATATCTTGTTTATATATATATATATATATAAATATATTGTATGAGAATATTGAATTATATTTTTATTTAGAATATCTTTTCAACTATAACAAATTTTTTTGGTACTAAATCAAATAATGATAATAATGAAGTACCTGAAGTGACAACACATTGGATGTTTGAAACAGGCATTTTTGATGGTTTCTTTTTTATGGGTCCAACACCAAATGATATTTTTAAACAATATAAAGCTATTACAGGATCTACACCACTTCCACCAGTATGAAGTTTGTTTATTTATTCTTATCAAGAAACTATTCAAACTGATAGCCGTCGTTCGAGCTCATATTGTGTTCATGAAGAGATCTGACTAAGATTAGAAAACTTGTGCTCATGGGGCTTTGAAGCCGAGTTATGACTGTTTTACTGAAAGTTTCAGTCGAAAAGAATGTTGTTTTATGAAGATACTGAATTTACAGGTAATGTCGATTCATCTAGAAACATGTTCCAAGTACAACTCGGCGAAGTCTATTCAGCGCTGAAAACCGTTTGTCGATATCTTTTATAATAACCGAGAAAATTTTTTTTAAAATCTTCATTGACATACTGCACTAGTAACCACGATGAGACGTGTGTAATAAGGATTTCTCGACAATAGAATATGCTACTGAGATAAGAGTTTTGTCATGTGATAGAACTGATTGAGTTCTACTAGAGACATGAATAATTCTATTGGAACATGTTTGTACACAAATAGGCTTTAAACAAAAGGTTAAATTGGGATCTAACATAACTTATCTTATGAAAATCGACTTTAGTTGAAAATTTAGTATCTTAATAAAAGAATATTCTTTTCGACTGAAACTTTCAAAATCATCAGATCTATCTATGAACGAAAATTCAATAAAACGGTGTATGACTCGGGATCTAGACGCTCATGACCACGAACTCTTTTTAAAATTTTTTCAGTCTGATTGAAATCTTCTTGTAAATCCAATAGGAATTAAAACGGCGGATATCAGTTCTTTCGTTAGAAAAGAAGAAAAAAGAATTTATTACTTCCTGTTTTTTTTCAGCTTTGGGCAATTGCATATCATCAATGTCGTTGGAATTATAATGATGAAGATGATGTACGAAGGTTTGTTTAATTTAAAATAAAATAAAATAATATTGATATTATATATTAAATAAAATATTTCTTTATTTAGTGTAAATAATGGTTTTGAACAACATCAAATTCCACTTGATGTTATTTGGCTTGATATTGAACATACAAATGGAAAACGTTATTTTACTTGGGATACATCAAAATTTTCTGATCCAGAAAAATTACAAGATGATTTAGCTATTTATGGAAGAAAAATGGTTACTATTACTGATCCACATATAAAAAAAGATGATGGATATCATATATATGCTGAAGCAAAATCACACGGTTATTTTGTTAAAACAAAAGATGGAGCAGATTATGAAGGATGGTGTTGGCCAGGTAAAAATCAATTGAATTGTTTCAAACTTTCGATGGAGTATCTACAAGAACTGCGGATATTTACTCTAGCTTGCACTTTTAAACCCAATATAGTCTTTTTTTGTAGACACCGACATTCATTTATACACGATGTTTTACAATTAAATATCGAGATAGACAACGGTAAATTTTGGTACGCGTAGAAACTCCGGGCATCTATGATTATCTTAATATTGATATCCACAGTTTCTACAGATACTCCTACTATATAGCTTGACCAAAGCTTAAGGTCAAAGTTAAACAATGATTAGAATGTCCTTGAACATTTATAGAAAAGGATATATATATATGAAATTTCCTTTCTCAATGGCCAACAACTAGAACAATCATCGTATTTTGTAGATGTTCTCTTGTTATGAAAACAGATTGAAATTTGTTATGTTCGATTTCCGACCTCAGTGAGGTTATAGAAACAGGGAATCATTCATCATAATCAAAATCTGTTTTATTCAGAACAAGGAACAGAATAGCCGGATAGGGATGTACCGAGATCCAGTCTCGTTCGAGACTCTCAATCTTGATATTGAGACGTACTGGTTTTGATGATATTGAATGTCGATCTTTTCTTTGTCATAGGTAAATGCGGTACTCTGTCTCGGTCGAAATTATAATCTTTCCAGTTTTTCAGCTGAGATTGACCGAGACCGAGAGTTTCGGTACATCCCTATAGCCGGATACGCAAAGATTAAGTAAATGTATCTAAATCGAGCATCGGAAACAGAAGAATAAGAAAAGGATTGCAGGATACTGGGATAATATTTTCTACTATTCTTATGTACTGATTTTTTTCGTATCTGTAATAAGGAAATTTAATGATATGCAACTCTCAGAGTGAAGCTGCGTATTCCTTGTGGGTTATATAAATATAGTGGAATGCAAAAAAAAGAAGTTACTACTTAATATGAAAAAGTTTTATTTGATTTTTCTTTGTAAGAATATAAAAATTCATATTAGTTTCGTTAAGAAGAATTATTAATATACAAAGATCTTATTTATAATTAGGTTCTTCAATGTGGCTTGATTATTTTAATCCAGATATATATAAATGGTATTCTCAACGTTATACTTACGATAACTATAAAGGTTCAACACCAAATCTTTTTATTTGGAATGATATGAATGAACCATCTGTTTTCAATGGACCTGAAGTTACATTTCCAAAAGATATTGTTCATTATGGTGATTGGGAAAATCGTGATGTACATAATTTATATGGTATGCTTCAACATATGGCATCATTTAAAGGTCTTGTTGAACGTTCAAATGGACATATACGTCCATTTATATTAACTCGTTCATTTTTTGCTGGTTCACAACGTACAGCAGCTGTTTGGACAGGTGATAATGCAGCTCATTGGAGTCATCTTAAAATTGCTGTACCAATGTTACTTAGTTTATCAGTAACTGGTATTGGATTTATTGGTGCTGATGTTGGAGGATTTTTTAATAATCCTGATCCACAATTACTTGTTCGATGGTATCAAGTATGTTACGAAAAACAAAAAATAACACTACAAACGACTATAAATTTTTTCAATGATTTCCTTTCACTACAGAAAGGAATACATATAAGCTTGTAGAGAAAGACTTCTTCTATGTAATAGTATATACATTATTAAGTACTACGTACTAGAACCTGTTGGGGTCTGAGAAATGTGTAGGATGCGCCTAGTGACCAAATACAAAACTCGGAAAAAAACTACTACCTCGTATATTCAGGACGACTATCCAATTTCGATTAGAAAATTTCATTGAGAGTATCAAGACACGGTTCAAACAGGCCCAGATACGGAAATTTTGGACACCCGACAGGCTCTACTACATGGTATTGATAGATAATGCTACCTTCGCCGTGGACATGATAGCATGTGCTAAAGGTGGTGCCATCTATTGACATGTCAATCGTACGCAGTAGAATCTGGAAATACCTACTAATGTTCGGCGATTCCAAAAATTAACCGGAATTGCGGTTCCAGTAACCATCGAACTCTAATACGTACACTATTAGATAGAGAAAGGTCTTCTCTTCAAGGCTACATATATTCTGTTCTTTAATCAAAATTTTATATTTGCCTTTGTTTTTATTAGGCTGCAGCATTTCAACCATTTTATCGTGAACATGCACATATTGATACAGCTCGTCGTGAACCATGGTTATTTGGTGATGATAATACACGACTTATTCGACAAGCTATTGAACAACGTTATACATATTTACCTTATTGGTATACATTATTTTATAAACAAGAAAAACAAGGTATACCACCAATGTTACCATTATGGGTAAATTTTCCACATGATAAAAATACATTTAAAACAGAAGATTTATTTATGGTTGGTATGTATGATTAAATCAAAAAGAAAAAGCAAAAGAATTTAATTGAGATAATATATTTTATAGGTAATGGTCTTCTTGTATATCCTGTAACAGAAGCGGATACAAATCAAGTTGCAATTTATTTTCCTGGAGAAAATACGGTAACGAAAAAGAAAATTTTTTATGATAATTATTTTGTTCTTTTTGTTTTTTTTTCTTTCTCAAAGGTTTGGTATGATATACGGACATTTACTCAACATAATGGTTTACAAACAGCACTTATTAATGTTGATATGGAATCGGTACATTTACAAAAAAAAAAGAAAAATTTGCCTATATTTAAATCATATTGAAATGTTCTTTTGTGATATTTTAGATTCCTGTTTATCAACGTGGTGGTGTAATTATTCCACAACGTTTACGAAAACGACGTGCATCAATGCTTGCTATACATGATCCAATTACTTTAGTTGTTGCACTTGATCGAAATGTAAGAGATAAATGTTTCAAATCTTTTCTCTGTTCCTATTGTAAGATATACAACTATAGTAATAGTGTGTGTTTTATATCACTCATATAAACAAGCAAATCAAAAGACTTGAAACTTATACAATAGATTATTTTCATTCGAGCTTGTCTTTATACAAAGTTTCAAATCGAAAATCAATGTTTTTGGATCATGGCATTCATTTCAAAAATACTGTTAAAGTGTAGTATCTCCACAATAATAAATTAAGCATACGAACTCTTTTTTATCAATTGGAAGAGTTTCCTCATAAGATTGAGAAGAGTCTATCTACTTTTTAGATTATTAGAACTTATTTCGATCTCTATTCTTACATACTCTGCATTATCATAACAAAGATTAGACATTGACGTTGAGTTGTCTTAATGAGATCAATTTTCATGGAAGAACAATCCGAATAGTCAATCCTTTTAAGTCTGTTAGAACTTGATATAAACAAGTTGATGTCAGTGGCGGATTTAGAGGTGGACCCTTGAGCGATCGTCTCTTCCTTCCAACATATATTTCTACATAGAGAACACCCAACAATTAGCCATGATCGCTTCCCTTTCTCAAAATTCTAAATCCGCTACTGTTTGGTCGCGAAGTTTGGAAACAATATCCTTGATAATCATGTAAAATTTGCCTCACATATCATATTGTCACGACTCATGTGTTCTAAATAGATATAGGCAAGATGATCCTGCTCATGTTTAATTAGAAGCCGCTATGGCTGATTGACACGTATCTACAAGACGCTGTGTTCAAACTTTGGTATCATCAGTCATGAAATGATCCTAGACAAGTCACCAACGACTTTTTGTTTCGAGCGACCTGTCCGATAGTATGCTGACTCCGTTGTGATATACACTTGCTCTTGTAGTAAGTTAGTGTATATGGGGAGTCTAAGCCATTGAGTGTAAGAACTCTGCATCAGGCTAGACTTTTTCCCAGAACTATAGGGAAGATATTGGGCTACTAAATCTACCACTAGACAACATCCGAAACTGCAAGATAGGAGAAGCATGGTTTCTCTTCCTATTTAGAACTAATATAAATCTATTTAATGTTTCTTGAAACAATCGTAACTATTTTCATTTATTAATGTCAATAAATTCTGTTTAGCATGAAGCTGAAGGTGAACTTTATATGGATGATGGTCAATCATATGATTATCGACAGAAACAGCAATTTATTCATCGTCGTTTTACATTTAAAAATAATGAACTTCAATCAATGTATGTTTATTATTTATTTTCATTTTTTACTTCAAGTTATTTTTTTTGTTTTTCTTTTTACAGATCTCTTGATTCTACGGGTAAATTTGAAACAGATGCTTGGATTGAACGTGTTGTTATTCTTGGTTATCCAAAAAATCCAAATCGAATAATAATTAATTCAGGTGATAAACAAGCTATTCCACTTCATAGTTATCAAGAAGCAACACAAACACTTGTTATTCGACGACCAGGTCCATCTGTTACAGCTAATTGGACACTTACACTTTCATAAAATAATATATATTCTTAGTTATAGGCTTGTTATCTCTTTGTCTATCTTTTTTTCTTTTTCTTCATTTTGTTATCTGGTGACTAATAAAGATGCTTATGTGTGCTGCTTTTTATTTTCTTTTTTTCATTATTATCAAACAAAACGGTTAACTAGAAATCTTATCAGTCACTAGCACAATTTGTTTTGTTTTGAATACACAAAAGAAGAGTTATGATGAAAATGAGGTTAATATGTCTTGGACTAGTTTTAAATTATTTTATTTATTTTACTTATGCACAACATTTTGTATGTAATTCAATTGATGGTTATAATACTAAAGAATTAACAAGGTAAAAAAAGAATTAAGAATTTCTATTAAATAGAAAAACAAAAATTCTAGTGCTATTCAATGGCAAGTTACAACACCACAACAATGTCTTTCTAATCTTGCTCTTGACTGTAGTTTTTATATAAGTTTTTGTCAAACAGGTAAGAATTTTAATTGTAATAATAAAAATTATAATAATTATTAATTTTTATTAGCGCCTATGTGCTTTAATGAATATTCGGCATGTCAAAATGCAACAGGAGCAGCAAATGTCACTGTTATTGGTGGTTTTACTAGTACACTTTTTTATCCAAATGGTAAATTTATTGTAGAAATAGTTTTTCATAAATCATCGATTTTCAAATGATATAGATTGTTTTTCTTTTCTCTCCATTTCAATTAATAGTTAAAGATTCGAAAAAACAAAATTGTTTGAAAAATTTAAGTACAGATCGATATTCTATGAATTAATTAATAGAAATGATTGACATATATTTACTATTCAAGACTAATATCATCATCATTCATTAAAATATCAATAATTTTGTTATTCTATTGAATTGAAATTCTTCGTTTTGTTTTTATTCATTATTTAGAAAATGCAAAAACTGGTTTTTATGCTAAATTTCCAAATGGTCCAATGCAAAATATATCAAATACAACACATTGTGAACCATCATTAATAATAAAATTTAAATGTAATAGTCAAGTAAAATGGTTTGCTCCATTGACTAATGCAACAGCATCTGCACCACAACCAATTGATATTGATGTTGATCAGTGTTTAGTAATTATATTTCAATTTCATATGAAATTTTTTTTTTTAAAATTTTGTAATAATATTTTGTTTTTAGACTACGATGACTTTTGAATATGAAGGAGCATGTTATAATGGACAGGAACCTTCGGAGGGACTAAGTGGTGGAGCTGTTTTTCTCATAATGTATGTTTAGAAAGAAAGAAAGAAAAAATAACACAATTTCTAATTCTCTTTTTTTAAATAAAATATAAATAATTGATTGGTATTTTTATTTTTAGTTTATTTTCTGTTGCTTTAGTTTATATTGCTGTTGGCATGATCTATAATGGATTAATTAAAAATCAATCAGGTATTAATTTACTTCCGAATACACAATTTTGGATTGGTTTACCATTAAATGCTATTGTAAGTTAATAATCATTTTTTTCTATGAAAATGATTTTAATTCTAATGAATTATTTTATTATAGGAAGGTTGTCGAACTACACTTGGTTTTTGTTCTGGTTCATCACGACCAAGTCAAGCAACATATGAATCTGTTTAAATTAGACAAATTCTTTTTTTTTTATATTTTACGCTCTATTTTGTGTTCATTGATCGATTATTTTTATTTTTGACTTTCTAACCAATTGCAAACTTCATGAAATACTAGAAAATCAATATAAAGAAATAAT